TATATAAAAATAAAATTATATATATAAAAATTATATATATAAAAATAAAAATAAAAATTTTGTTTACGTTCTTTTGAAAAGCAAAAATTGAGGACCGTCGATTGGTCCCAAACAGACGATTAGTTTACTTGTTCTAACATCTACGTAATCATACAATAGGAATTACAAAAACTTTTCCGGAGTTCATTTTTTTGGAAAAGCGCTGGTTCACCGTTCCTGTCAGTTTGACGATCGACTCAGTCGCGTCATCGTGTTAATGTCACCTTGCCGCATTTCCGAAAGTTGACTATCGAATTACGTGCCTAAAAGCACCTAGCTACCGGTGCTCTAAATAACGCACAATGCAGTTACGGAACTAACCCGCTGGTATGAGTGCGTCATATATCGCATTTTTTTCACCGGTTTCTCTCTGAGCGGCATGTGTTATCTTTCCACCCCTGTATACCAGCCTCTTCGTATAATACGAAGTAAATTCATACAATACAACAGTCTTTTCTTTTTTTTTTTCAAAAGAATGGAATTCGTTAGATTCAATATGCTGATCAATATGTCATACGAATGAATAATAATATTTAAGTCATATTTATGTGTGTGTTATTTAGTACGTTGTTATTATTCAATATTTTGAAGAAAATATCTAGGAAGTATAACAGTATACAATCACTCTTTATTAATCCCAAAAAATTTTATACATCATGCGTGAGTATACAAATTTATAAAGAAAATATATTGAAACATATTTTTAGAAGACGTAAAACTTGAAATGTCACGCAAACAATATTATTAACGATATAATTAAGTTCATTAATATTTATATTTTCTTTATAATAATAACTTTCTTTATAATTTGTAGTAACTTTTTATCGCAAAAAAGAATTGTTTAAATATATCATTATATACGCTTTTGCTAAGATTGCATAGATAAATGGCAGTGCAAGAGCAATGAAAAAGAGAAGAGCAAAAGACCATACTTATTTTCTTGATCCTTCTTCTTAGCTGCGACGGAACTTTCGTTCCGTACCCATGGAGATGTAATCGCATTAAGAAGGATATTGTCGTTGAGCAACCTTGATTAATTTCTTCTTGTCCCTGCCTGTCGATCGATCATATTAAAAATCGTATTCTCTCAAAGTAGCTTGTCACCGGATGGCTCCATTACGCGAGAATTTAGTTACGAATTATAATTAAAATCGCACGCAAATCTAAAACGCTCTTAATATGAAATAAGTGTCAGATTTTTTTCATTCGTATTCTTGTGTTCTACTTTAAAAAAAAAAAAAAAAAAAAAAGATAACTGCGTTTGTTAAGTTTATGTGAAAATTATTATGTAAATTTTATATATATTTTTTATGAATTGAATAATATTTAATAATTTATTCTGAGTATATGTAGAATAGAGTGTTTTTTAATACAAAAAGTATTTTTAAAGTAAAATCAAACTAACAGTTAAAAAAGCTATTAAAGATAAAAATAATTTAATTTATAAAGAACATATATGTCTATACATGTTTATTCTAAACTAAGTCATTTTTATTTTTAATAGTTTCTCTTTTACTGACTGGATATTTTAGCTCATAATAATGCATCTACCTTTTCAATTCTTAACTCGGAATTGTATCGTTAATACAAATCGCTTGCTTGCTGCATCGCAATTAAAATTCACTTGTTTAAATTTATTTGTTATGACAGATATCCACATGCTTATGTAAAAAAAGCCGCATTATGAGAAGTTACGTCACTAATCTCTTTCCTAACACAATTGTCTTTCCCTATAGATGCCATTGCGCAAGATTATCTGATCTTCGTCGATTGAGTAATCTGTATCGATACTACAAACCAGTCTAGAATTTTGATTAGCATCCACGAATAACATTAATAAAATACATTATTCAATTCGCCTCACGGCGACGTCGCACTTCTCGGTAATCATATGTCTAACGTTCGATCAAATGGAAAAACTGTATAATCTACTGAGAATTTTGCGGTGTGAGAACTTCCACGAAAACAAAACTATTAAAATAACCAGACATATTCGATCCGAATCCGAAACGAGGAAGATGCTTGATGCAACGTCTGATGGGACAAGCAGCTGAGACGAGTCTCATAATTTTAACATTCAAGGATAAACATTCTGCGTTTCTTTCCAGCATCGATTTGGACACTCTTTCCAGAAGAATTCATACAACTTTTAACTCGTGCGAGTGCGTTTCAACGGAAATCTCGATATATCGATTCGCTTCACCCGAAATCGCGAGAGAAAGTCGCGCGTCGCGCGACTTGTGCGTCGGCCTAGAAATAAAATACCAAAGTGCCAAATGCCGTGAACGTCAGCCGTCGGGGCTGACGCACATCGAGCACATCGTGCGGGTCTGCATCGAATTGTAATCACGAAACAACACGTTAATAACGCCTCCCGTAGAGTGATAACGACGCAGCCGCCGTCCGGCGGGGTGTAGCGGCGTCGCGCACGTCCATGATCAAAGGCCCGCGTCCCGAATGGGAAATTATAATTAATTAAGGTAATTGGAAATTAGCGACCGATCTTGCCCATCCTAATGGCACGGAGCCGCGCGCTCTACTCCGCTCTTAATTGAGTTAGCAGCCGCTTTTGAGGAGCCTCTGTATCACTGACAGCGGCCCTAATCGCATTCCTACTGGGGGGACTCGATAGAGCCGGTACTAATGGCGTCGTCGCCGTCGTCGTCATCGTCGCCGTTGCCACAGCGGGCTTAGCAAAAGTCAATAAGATTGCCGACCGTTTTCCAAGATCGAGCCCGAGATGCGAGAGGCGGGGGGGATCTCGCGTGGAAGGAGATTTCGGGATCGTCGAGAGGGGGTGCGTTGATAAACCGCGGACGCTCGTGTCAATTCGGAACGGTGAGTGGGACACAGGACACAAAGTGAAGACACAAGTGTATGTACGATGCTGCATATGTATAGATTTACGTGGGAAGCACTTAGAAAACAGTCGCGAGTCCTTACTCTTCTTCTGTGGATGGATCTGCACTTAAAAAAAAAAAAATGTCAACTTATTTAATTATAGATTTATTTAATGTTAAAATCACAATATTGGCTCTTTTGAGATAATTAAAGTTCAAACGGAATAAAAAAAATTTTGAATTATTTTAAATCAGTATTAAATTAAAGGAATTTTAATTTCAGATTTAACTATGTAAATTTTGAGATACAAGCACAAGTTTTTGAAGACGAGATGTCAAATGAAATATAAAGACGGTCAAGCATTTAACAAAAAAAAAATTTATTGAATTATCCTATATGTAAATCAACTTTGCTGATATGTTCTATAAATTTGAAAATTTTGCGAGAATATTCTTTCA